ACACAATAATAAAAATAAAATTAAAAAAAAACACACATCATTGTAAAATAAACACGTTCATCACTCCGTTAAGAATCTAAAAATTTAATAAAAAGTATTAACATAGATGTTCTAGAATCTAGAATTAACCTATAAAAAAACGAAAAATAATTTAATACATAACAAAGAATTGAGTTAAATTAATTACCAACAGATGTTAAAGGTGGTAAACTATGATAATAGATAAAGGGGAAATATTTGAATTTTATACTCGAACTTCTATGAACCCCACGAGCCGCCTCTGGTTTGAGAATTGTACAAAATAAAGAACATAATACTATACGGTTTATAGTTGAAACTTGTGAAAAATAATTGATCCGGGTGCTGGGGTAACGTTACCGCAGCACCTGTAAAATGAAATTGAATTTCGGGGAAGTTTGGGAGTTGTACAAAATTTAATTTTGATTGTACAAAATTGTACAAAATAAAGTACATAATACTGTACGGTTTAAAATTGAAATTTGTGAAAAATAATTGATCCGGGTGCTGGTGTAACGTTATCGCACCACCCGTAAAATGAAATTGAATTTCGGGGAGGTTTGGGGGTTGTACAAAATTTAATTTTGGTTATACAAAATTGTACAAAATAAAGTACATAATACTGCTTGATTACAATTCATGATTTCGAAAATACGGGTGCTGGGGTAACGCACCTCTGATTCACCAATTCGTGGGCCCAGTACAATTTACAATTTTGGGCCCCAAATTGTCCATCTCTATTTTCTTCAATGCTAAAATAAAAATGTACGCATAATATATTTTTAAATTAATGGTGTATATATTGTAATTAGTATATGAGTAGTTGGATAGTAGAAAAAATTGTATTGTTAAAAATATGATTATTATGTATAATATTTATTCAAATAAAACAATTTACACGTAAAGAAACAAACTTTTTTTAAATTTGTTTTTTTATTACACATTACACTTATATATTAAATTAAATGCTTTAAATCTAATTTTATTTCAGTTTTCATAAACATTTCCTTGCTTTCTGCTTTGAAAAGTGGTCAATAACATCATCAAAATTCAGGTTTGCTGTGATATCACTTTCAATAGATAATAAAGAAAATGATCGTTCACTGGAGCAATTTGTAATAGGCATTGTAAGAAAAATTTGAAGACACGTTTCTATATTTTTAAATGCATGTGATATTTGCATACCTTTAATGAATTTAAGTTGGGCAGCGGGATTTCTTGATATTTGATGAGAAGAAATTAAATTATGAAATTGCAACCATTCATCTGCAAAATTATCAAGATCCAAATCTAGTTCATTTAAATAAATTGTTTGTAAATTATTTATTTGGTTGTTAATTTCATTTCTATCAGAATTTTCACTAAATAAAAATCCAAATTTTTCTTCTACTTCAATGTAAGCCATTTTTCGTTTATTCAATTCAGCTATAAATTTATAACAAATAATATAATGAATATCACTCGTAAACTTCACTCTTGAATCTAATTGTCTTTCTTCAGAATTAGTATCATCTAAATGTCTACTTTTTGGTGTATTTTTTTTTCTTAAACTCTGATATTCAATATCGTTTTTTAAAAGTTCTATATATTTGCTTTCATAATCATCAAAGTGTTCGAAAACATACTGTATGAAATCTATTTAGGAGTTGTATAAGAGCACAACTGAAAATAAATTTTCTGTTGAACTCTGAAGATTTTTTGATGTTATATTTATTCGTTGTAATATAACATCCCATATAATATAGCGGTTTCCTTTTTTTTTCAACTTTTTCAAAATTTTTGTTGCATCAAATCGAGTTTTGCCGTTTTCATTTTTATCTTGAGATATTTCTAAGTAGATAAAATATGAGCATCATTTTGTCGTAATGCTTTAGTTGCATCAGCATTTATGGACTACCATGTTTGAGAAGACGATTTAATAGTTAGCGTTTCATTACGTTTTAGATGTTGACATAAAAGTTTCCAAATGTGATCAATGTGAGTGATATCAGATGTAAGAGTCGACAATCATTCCAAAATAATTGCATTTTTATTTGTTCTATTATATGTTTTAAAACTTTATCTCTCATTAAAATTATGATTTCACGAACTGTGTATGATGAAATATAATTTGTTTTACCACTACCAACGTTCCCATAATTATTGAGATAAAATGGATCAAACTTTGCTATTAACTCCATAATACCCAAAAAATTTCCCTTATGCGCATTTCCTATAACTTCATTTTTTCCAAAAAATGCTAATCCTCTTTGAGCTAAAAATTGAATAACTGCTAATGTTCGTTTTGAAACGTCCCTCCAATACTGAATATTTTTTTTGTATTGTAAAACTAGTTGACAATCAATACGCTTAATATCTATAGAGCAATTTGAAAAATCACAAATGACTTTTCTATGAACAAATTAATTTTCATGTTCTCTAAAGTCATTCTTTACTATGTTGCCAGTCACTAAAACCCTCTTTACACAACAGCGTGTTATTCGGTGAATATAGCTTACAAATATAACAAAATAAACTAACATTCGACGGTGATTATACCAACCATCTTCTATGTATTTCATGACCATTTTCTTTAGTTAAATAAAAATGTTCTTTTGTTAATTTTCGTAGAACTCCTCGAATAGTTTTTTTTTTAATTATGAATACAATCTATATTTTGTTTTGGAGTATTTAATGTGAAGTATTCCCGAAAGCTTTCCGAAATTATCGGTGGTCATATTGAAATATCATCGGAGAATCGTGCAAAATTGTTTGGTGGTAAATCTGGGTTTAATATGTCATTATTATCAATTATATGATCAAACGGCGTTGCACGTTTAGTGTGTTTAAAAAGTTTATTTGGTGGAAACGAGCATCACCCGATCAAACATATCTCAGTTTTAACAATCGCATTATTATCAATGGCACATTTTTCATTGGAATAATTAGTACTAGTAGTACCACAGATTTCAACAGATTTTTAAATTTCGGTAATTTAATTTTCGTTTGTATATTTTTCAGTAACGTCTGTTTCTCAAAATAATAATTTGTAATAATTTATAAAAATAATAGTTAATATAAGAGTATTGATTCATATTGTTATTAAAAATGTATTACCTGGCAATTGTGCGCTAGAAAATAAATTAGTACAAAACATAAATTTATTCAAACTGCTGTGTAACTTTTTTGTTTCATGGTCTCATTTATCCTTTAGTTTTCTCTTCGTTGAAACACTTAAATATTTTTTTGACATTTGAAATTATTAAAAATAATTAACAAATGACTAATAAATATACAACAAATACGATTGACGTAAATCGCGAGATTGAATGCACCACACAACTACACAAGACAACGCGTCAATAGTATTATAGTATTATATATAACTTATATTACGATCATTAGTAATATATTATTATTATATAATATTAAGACGATAATAACGACAATTAGATTTTGTTATCATCAATGTTGATTAAAGCCGTCGTTTTCGCGAAATCCTCATTCTACTTTATACCCACCAAAATGGCTGCATCCGAGTTGGGTCCTAAAATAATACTAGTTTTAAATTTTGTACGAATTGGGTCCGTGGGAATAAAATGTTTTGTCTGAATTGGGTTCGGGCGTATCAAATGATGCGTTTGAATTGGGTCCATGGTCCACGTATTTATACAATTATATAAAATAATTATATTATATAATTATTATAAAGTACGAATATGGATTAAGGACGTACTTTCTGGCAATAAAATTATATCTTATCGTAGTAATATACAGTACGAAAATAATATTATAGATTAGGTATTTTCTGCCGTTGAAATAATAATCAACCAGATGACGAACGATTACAAATATTCACGGAATATTTATTAAACAATTATATACATTCTGACGCTAAGTTTCCTTCAAGATTATGGTCAGAATTTAAGCCTAGTACAATAAGAACTACAAACGCATGTGAATCCTTTCATTCTCACTTCAATTCTATGTTTTATTCTGCTCACCCAAATATATATCAATTTATACACGTTTTAAAAAATATTCAAATAGATGTTTATATTAAAATGAGAAGTCCAGAAGGAAAAAGAAGAAACTGTATAATATCTAAGGAAGAATTCGTAAAAGAAAAAATGACAGAAAAAATATTTAAAAAAATTAATTGCTACGAATTCGTAAAAACTATGTCTTATAAATTTCAACCTTTAAATTAAAATATTATTAATCATTAAAAATCAGATGGACGACGAACGATTGTAAATCAGGAAAAAATTAGAAACAAAACATTTTTAACCATACCTGTAGTAACTATAGATGTTATTATAGACAGTCCTAAGTCTGTAAAAATGGGAAGGAAAATGTTTTTTATGCGACCGAACTCGTACAGTAGACTGGTTTACACGGGACCAAACTCGTACAGTAGGCTATTTTACACGGGACCCAATTAGTGAACAATCTGAATCATGGGACCCAACTAGTATTCGCCGACCAAAATATCTAAGTAAAATTGTGTTTTCCCAAAATATAATAAAATGATATATTATTAATTTTATATGGCTGAAGTCAGTGGGCCCCTCTTTCGAATGGGCCCAGTGCAAATATCCCATTTGTCCTTGCATAAATATGGCACTGCTTAAAATTAATACTATTATGCACTATAGCGGTTCGTAAGTTAATTTGGCCAAAACATTTTGGAGGGGCTTTAAAGAATTCTAGAGGGCTTCAGCCCCTCCAAGCCCCCCCCCCCCTAGTTACGCCTATGGCTGTTATGTCTATTTATATTACGATTATTTATTATTAGCCAAATGTTTATCAAATCGTAATATTTTCAATACCGTTATCGCATAACCTGGGTGAGCGGGATTAACGGTGTACCAGTATTTTAATAGATCGCAACAAACAGGTAAAAAAGTGGTAACTCTTAACATTGATAATAAATTTATAATTTATTGTATTTATTAATTATTTATTTATATTTTAAGTATTTATAATTAATGCTGTTACGTAATTTTCGTAACTTTTATTATTACCACGTTGTTGTTTCATGGAACAATATGTATACTCTATAGTTTTTTTCTTCATTATCAGCCAGACAACGTTGGAGATAATAGTAGAAACTGATCGTGCAATATTCATTTTCAAAAAACATATGTGTGCAGTGTATTGTGGTTGTGTTATATTAATTTTTAATTCCAATACACATTGTTTTTTTCTTTTATTCTCCAAATAATTTTTGTATCCATTTTATTAGCTTCTACGTTTAGTGTTGCAGCTTTGTACCGTTTGTTGATTTCGTACTAAATACTATTGAATTTATGACTAACCTTGTTAGCTGTGAGCCTAATACTGATTCCCCAGGTGTCCTTGTGTCTTTGAGTCTTTGTTTCCGGCTGTTTCAATGAACGAGGATAGTTTGCAACCCAACGGTATTTCGCAACAGCCGTCGCCTACTACTTCCACTTATCAGCCATTTGTACCTGACGTTGATTTCGAACAACCCATCAACGACAACCTGGACGCTAAAGACCGAGAAAATCAACCTCTGCTGGGACGCATGGACCATGCTCCAGGTTATAATCATTTCCCAGGTAAAAAAAATTAAATACATTTAATATTATTTTATTTTACCTATAATTAATTGATAATAATTTGTTGCACAATTGCCTTAGTTATAAACCTAACTGTGTTTGCTATAACTTATACATACCTACTAATAGCATTGATAACTATAAAATTTGCTTATATTCAGTGATGTAATTTTGGGAGGAGGGGTTCCTGGGTCTCGCACTCCAGAAGAATAAAAAGGTTCAAAAGTCATAAATAACTTACTACAAAAGTACAGAAAAAAAAAACATTAATTTATATAAAGTAGTTTTAAATAATTTTACATTATATTATTCTGGGGAATAATTATTAATTTTTACTTCATATGTATTTTCTGTAATATTATAAAATCACTTATTTTTTTTAGAAAAATGTAAAAAAAACCTACAAAAAATTTTAAAATACACCTTTTTATATGTTACTTATTTCTTTCTTGTTCAAATTATTTATATATTATTATTTTAAATAACATATTAATATTGAATAAAATTTTTTCACTGAATAAATATTAAATTTAAAATTATAACTATTCAAAACTAATTTAGTTGTTCAAAATTAAAATTAATTACTCAGCATATTTAAGTGCATACATATTTCAAACATTTTTCAAGTAGGTATATACTACTTAAATAATTAATCTCGGTATATCTCAAATAATCTACGTTACATTTTAATTGTAATCCTAAAGTCATTCTAGTAATTTTCTTCAGATAAGTTTATTGCATGGTGCATATTTATTACTTTTAACTGACTATAAATTAACAATGTAAAATGAAAAAAGATAAAATAAATAAGGTAAAATATAGTACTTGTAGTGATAGTGTAAATATCAAAAATATTATAAATAAATTCTCCAATATAAATTTCTGAGTCATATTTAATTTAAGTAAATTAAAATATTTGTTGATTAAATTAATTTTGTGTAATTTTTTTTTTTTTTATACTAAAATAGAAAATTTAAAATCAGAAATATCTACAATAAGCAAGTAGGATATTATGATGTAAAGAATATATACATGATAATTAGTATGAAGAGGGAAGCTGTTTAATGAAAAACCCCATATGTGATACTATGGTTGGGGATTTAATAAATCTATGCATCTGCATTTTTTTGACCGATGGAGGAATTTTCTGATAAGGTGGCTTCTCCTGTCCATTTAAAAAATTATTTTATTCTCCAAAAACTTTTTAATTTATTTATTATAACATGTTATAAGATCATATGGCAATTCTAATATTTTATTGAATAATTATACATATCTTGGTTCTCCTTTACATTTTAAATTAATAAAATTAGATCCTAGTTAATTTGCTTGTATACCAACTAAAAAAAAAAAAAAAAAAAAAATGCTTGTTTTGAATATTAGAATAATTAGGAAATTTACTATTTTGTTTTTATAATGTTACATTTTAAAGAAAATTATAAAGACGAAGTTAAAAAATAAAAATAATATTTTATTGTTCCACATTGAACTTTGAATAATTTATTGTTTATTATTTAAAATGTTTCATTAATTTTTATATTTTTTCTAAAACTATTCATTGAATAAAATGGTTTTATCATATTCTCAGAATGAGAAGTCAATTTTATTTTTTCCTATAGTCATTCCAATTTACTTAAATATATTTTTTTCTAACTTAATTCAAATTATTAAATTAAGTCAATTTCTTTTGAATTCATAATAATCATTCAAACTATATACTCAAGATTCTATAGATAATTCATTAATGCCAGATCATATACCCACATACTGACTATTTAACAGTATTATTATACATATTTAATTCATAGTCATGTTTGAGTCACAGTTTATGATTTTATTTTAAATAAGTTAGCATACAGCATAAAAAAAAAAAAGGCAAGTTTCTGAAGTTAAATGAGGCACACAGCCAAGTGGAATACAGGAATGAATGAATCGTTTTGCTGTATTGATTTTTTAAATTTGAAAACTATGTACTTTCCATTGTTCTAAAAAGAAAACGATTCTGAGTAACAGGGATCAAGTGGATGTTTCTAAAAATAGTTGATATAGTAGAAGAACTGCATTTCGTAATAGGTTAGGTTGAACTTTTAATATTCAGGTTTTCACACCAAAAAAAAAGGAATCTAAAATTTGAGAAAATTAAAAATTCCTATTAACAGAAAAAAATTATTAAAATTATTTGAAACTATGAAATGTCTTTAACTAAATAACTAATATTGTTAAATGAAAATTCATTGAGTATCTGACTTTGTCAAAGTTTGATTTTTAACACTTGTAATTCATTTTTGGAACTTTTCAGTAGATTTTTTTATTTTTACTACAATAATATTGAGGATTTTTGTGATTTTTATCATTTTGTCAAATTTTTTTATTTCATCGGTAACAGATATTTTTGGAATTTTGTATTGAATGTTCAAGACTCTTTGACAAACTAAGATTATTTTATTATCATTTTCGTTAAAATCCAAAAAAAAAAAAGAATTTCTATAAATAGCTCAAAAAAAGTCCGTTCAAAATTATACCAGCTCCAAAAAAATAGTGATATAAGCATTTAGCAAACATTGTATGTATGTCTCTAAATGATTATTTTTTGAGTTGCGAAGAAAACACAAATTTACAATAAAACTAATATGTCATACTTTTTACCGCATTTATATTAATTTTATCAGTTTTTTTCAAATATTAAGGCCGAGTTGCATAAAGAACAGTCTGTACATTTGTTACCGGCTCTGTAAGATTTTTAATGATTATGTAAACTATTCTCGAGTTGCATAAAGATCTATTTGATAAAGAAATATTAACCGTGGTTACCAAATAAATGAAAAAATTGTGCGTAGCCGCGTAAGTATATTAACTTAAAAATAATTTTTATTTTTTAATAATCGCAAAAACTAAAAAATATATAATATAAATAAAATATTGATAATATTGATAATAAAACGTGTTTATCTTATCATAATAATTATATTATATTATTTTAACCAATCTGTAACTTAACACTCTGTAAGTTACAGAGCCCAAATTGGATCTGCAGTTTACAGGTCCGGCAGCCGATAATTTACAGAGCCGGTAACTTGACCGAACGTTTAAGCAATACTAAATTTTATTTACGGATCCGTTAACGTACTTACAGATCTGTAAGTAGTCACAGGATGTTTATGCAACCCAGTCTAAGAAGGCTATTGGAAAATTCGTAAAATTATCTCTTTCAAAGTATCAACTAGACCAGTGATTCCTAAATGTTTACTACCACAGAACCCTTAGGAAATAGTTTGATCTAATAGTATTATCTAAAAACCTCTTGAGGTATTATAAATTGATAATGAAAATATTTAACAAGCTTTGAAATAATAAAAATTGTTAGTGGTGAATGTAATATTAAAAAATAAATTAATTTGTAACTACTTAATTAGTAATATCCAACATTTTACTTTAACATATAAATATTATTTTCTTTTAAAATCAATATTTTATTATCGTTAAAATAATTTATCTATTGAACTTTGTATCTAAAATACAGCATATATTTGTAAAACATATAAATATATTCATAGAGAAATAATTAAACTTTATGCAACATTATGTAAAATATGATTTGTTATCTACCTATTATGAATTTCAACATTAATGATTATTATAGACTATGGTATTATAATTATATTTTTTGACTGTTGATATTTAATATTATTGACATTCGATATTCATTTACAATTTAAGGCTAATCTTATTAATAATCTTCTATCCTTTTTTAAACAAATTAATGGGTTTTCTAATTAAAATTCTTGGAGTAGTATTAAAAATACTGTATATACTATATATGTATATATCTAACATGTTATTGAATTTTACAGTTAAAAACATCCAACAATGAATCACTCCTCTATGAGTACTTCATATGTAAACTAAATGTGTCAATATTATATACAATAAAAATATCATATTATAATACATAAATATTATTGTGTATATTTTAATATATAACTATTGTATGTTATATGTAGAGCGTGGATTTCTATGCATTCGCATATTTTTTTCCTTTCAATATTTTTGGATTTTTGTCAGTTATCTCCACAAATCATCATAATTTGAAGCTAATGGTGAAATTTTTTTTTGCATATTTCTGCATATTTAGTGGTTATTGCATAATTTTGCATATTTTGGTAAAATTCAAAATTTATTGCATATTAAAGTAAAAATTTAAAAAAAAAAATGTATAAAATAATATTTTGTCTAGTAGAAAAATTAAAAATAAATTTCATTGTCACTAAATAATAATTTATATATATATATATATTTAGTTATAAAATAAATAATCGATAACGACGTAAACTTAATCGCTTTTGCTGTGTCAGTCGATTATCGACATACCACTTGCTTCAAATATGTCCCAATAACTTCGGTTGACATCGAGGGTTCGTTTTCAGTCTTTAAAAATATGTTAATCGATAAACGACACAGCTTCACAGAAGATAAACTTGAAATGCATTTGATTATTTATTTTAATAATAAATAAAATTTTAAAAATAAAGTAAGTTCAGAAAATTCCCTAAATTTTTTTGTATTAAGTATTTAAGTAATTCATTTTTATAAGTTGAATTATAAATTTTAAATGAATAAAAAATTCTTGCATATTTTTTGCATATTTTCATAATTTTGACTGCATATTATATGGTATATTTCGATACTATTAAGTGCATACAAATCCGCGCTCTAGTTATATATTATATAATATATGTTAACCATTGTATTAATGAAGCAAGAAACTTAAAATTAGGCAATACAAAATTGTTTTATAATTTATAGTGTTATAAGTTCATGATGTTTGAAGACTTATCTATTCTTGATTATGACTGTTATGAAAATAATGGTAAATGTTATACTTTCTATTAGGTCTTTATTTAAAGTTAAATATATTTTGTGGTATGTTAAATATTATTTTATAATTTTGCAGATGATCCTTCATTCAGTTATGTTATCAAACAAGCTGAAATAGCTATAGATAATAGTGTCTTCCCTGAACGAATTTATCAAGGATCCAGTGGCAGTTATTTTGTCAAAGATCCAAATTGTGTAAGTTTCTGTTTACAAATTAATTTATGAAGAACTTAGGTTTAATGTATTTTTGAGTTATATTGTTATGTTCAGATTTTATATTGATAATCATAAATAATTTACATACAATTTATATTTTTACATAGACTAATTAAAAAATTATTAAATTATTTTATACTTTAGAAAACTATTGGTGTTTTTAAGCCAAAAGATGAAGAACCGTATGGGTTACTAAATCCAAAATGGATCAAATGGCTACATAAAAATTGTTGTCCCTGTTGTTTTGGGCGTTCATGTTTAATACCTAATCAAGGATACCTGTCTGAAGCAGGTGCTAGTCTTGTATCAACTAAACTTGGATTAAATATTGTACCTAAAACCAAGGTTGCCAAATTGGTTAGTGAAACATTTAACTATGGACGTTTAGATAGAGAAAAGACTCGAATGAAACATGCTATAAATGATCATTTTCCAAAATTGGGACGGCGATTTAATAGACTTGGTCTTAGGCCCAAAGTATGTATAATTTTACTGTCCTTATTTGAATAACTTAATGATTGATATACTTTTATGTTCAGATAGGATCGTTCCAATTATTTATGGAAGGATATAAAGATGCTGAATATTGGCTTAGGCGGCTTGAATTAGCTCCATTACCTTTAAATCTTCAATCACGTTTTCAACTTCAATTTGAAAGACTAGTTGTGTTAGATTACATTATTCGAAATACTGATCGAGGTAATGACAATTGGTTGATTAGATATGATCAACCGAGCTTAAGTTCAAGTCCTAATGCTAGTCTTACAAATTCTACCATCAGTGAAAGCTCAAGTGTAAGTCAATTATTTTTTTAATTCTTAAACTTTTTTGTATTATTAAAATTATTTTTCATTTAATTATTTTTAAATTTCTATAGGAATGGAATAATGTCCAAGAACCTGATATAAAAATTGCAGCTATTGATAATGGTTTGGCATTTCCATTTAAACATCCAGACTCATGGCGCGCTTATCCTTATCATTGGGCATGGCTTCCACAAGCAAAGATTCCATTTAGTAAGGATACAAAAGAACTTGTATTACCTTATCTATCAGATATGAATTTTGTTCAAGATTTGTGTGATGATCTTTACACTTTATTTAAGGTTAATAAAATAAATAATTCACAGTCGTATATCCAGATATATTAATAGGAATACTGTTTTATTAAAAGTAAAGACAATTTTTGTCTCATGAAAATTGTTTTATTTATATACTGTTACAAAAAGTATGTTTTTATATACAAACATTATGTTGTATGCATATGCCCAATAAAATATTACAAAGTATTAAATATTATGTCATCCTTGGATATACCACTAGTAATACCTTACATAATGAATTTTTTTTCAGTACATTTTTATACTTAATATTACAGATAGACAAAGGATTTGATAGACATATGTTTGAAAAGCAAATGAGTGTTATGCGTGGACAAATATTAAATTTAACTCAAGCTTTAAAAGATGGTAAAAGTCCTGTGCAACTTGTGCAAATGCCAGCAGTTATTGTTGAACGGTAATAATACAAATTCGGTTTTTTAAATATTTAAAATGTTATAACAATTAATTTTATTTTCATGTAATTCTATACAATTTATTATATACTATTATAATTTAATATTCAAAAATGAATGTATGTATTTATCCTAATAGTAATTAGATAAATATTTTAACGTAAAACATAACAGTAATTATTTATGTGCTATATCTAATAGTGGATTTATATTCAGCCATTGCCACTGCTCCTAGCACTGTAATATTTACTTCCAAAAATAATTTAGTGGCAGCGTCTAAGGCAGTGAGTGTTTAAATTGCCGTGCTAGTTTTACAATATGGCGATCGCGATTGCATGTTTACATTCTGCTCGATTGGTTATCGCCAAAGTCGTTTTTTGCTTACTATTTATGTATTCTTTTTTTTTTTTTTTATTCTTGCGCGCTCGTATTCTAAGTTACTTGCAATATGCAAGCTGATTGGAGCTAAAAATCAATAATACAATTTTTAGAATTTTATGAGACTGAAAGAGTCATATACATATTTAAATTTAGCAGAGTGCCGTAGCTACAATTATTTTAGTATCCTCCATTGAGCGACGTCGAGTACTAACTTAATTGTTACTAGCTATCAAAGTACACATGCATGAAAGTAAAAAGAAATCGCAAAAATTACTCCCACCTAACAAACATCTTACTCCCACCACCCAATTCCGCCAACTAGTAATGCTCCGTCTATTATATAAGGTCTATATTTGTTCCCAACTATTTAACCATATCAGTTTCTTTGTATCATTTGTGTCGTGCTGTCATGTGTATTAAATTTATTATTTCGGTGTATTTAAATGCTAATTAATATTCATATTTTGAATGACTTTTTTTTCTTTTGCTTTGGTCCGCTAGATTTTAATTTTCTAAAAATTGGCCCCTCTAGTAACTTTGAGTTACCCATCCTCGCCTTATAGCTAAGATATTTTTTTTTTGTACTTGATAAAATTTTAAAAAAATGCTTTTGGTTTTAATATAGAACTTAAAAAATATTTTATTTTTTGAAAATGTTTAAGTAATAACATTTTAATTTTTAAATATTGAATATCAATATTGATATTGATATTAAAAATGTAATATCACTTTACTCATATACGAGTACTTTTTTACTGATACTGAAAAAATTTTAAAAATTGTTAGTTTGAAATTTATTTCATAAGCGTTTAAGTAAATGATTATATCTACGATTTCTACGGATTTTACTGTTTTTAAATAAATTTTAAAAATTAAATTTTTATTAAAAAAAAATTGGTCCATTCAATATGATAATCTATAATTGATCCATAATGAAACTTTGAATATAGATAAATTTGGTTAAAAAAAAATTTTCTTCGTCAAACAAAATGTTACACAGATTGATAAAAAAAAAATAACCTATTGGTAATTCGACTAAAAATGATATAAAAAACTTCTAAATAGTTGATTTTTATACTGAATCTTTGCTCAGAACCGTTTTGATAAAGAAATGACTTATCATTTCTTTAAAATTCAGTATATTTACTACTAGGCTTGCCACTCGCCCTGGTATCCCGGCCGATCATTCAGTTTATTCAAGTTAATAGAAGCCAAGAAAAAATAACATTTAATATTATATTATTTAATAATAAAACATAGAATAATATTGTACATTATATCATTATATTATGGTAATTTAATCGGTATGATTATATACATTGTGTAATAATGTATTTTTGTGTTAGCCTATAAATATTTAAATTAAAAAATTATATACTTATTTTGTTTTCATATCAAAATAAAAAAAGGGTCATTCAATATGATGTCCCAGTTTGAGGATCGAAGAGACAGAGAACGAACTTCCACAACCATTATTTAAATACTAAATTTATATATTTATACAATAAAAACTCTGTTTTTCTATACTTAATAAGTAATGAGTATTTAAATAGAAATTAATATGAACACATTTGGGGATGCTTACTTCGAAAATGGGGGTGCTAAGTACACCCAAGCCCCCACAACAATAAGTGCGAGTAACATGAATACATACTCGCGCTCCCAACTTTCATACTTTCATACTCCCCTTTCATACTTCCCTATACACAGTGGCATCATTTTAACTTTTGAAAGGGTGGGACAACTTATTTAATTTGCTGACTTTAAAATACAGTAAAATCTGTGTAATATGGAATCAGTTGGGACTGGATATTTTTTCCATTTTAGACAGATTTCCATTTAATGCAAGTTGACAAAAAGAAAAAAAAATTCCAGATAAATCTTTATTAAATGTAATTTATTATTTATTATTTGTTCATTTATTTCATATATTTATTATTACATATTTATTATTGCATTTTGCCTACGTTTTACTCTACATAATTATACTATCCAAAATTCATCCAATGTTTTTTGTTTTGTTATTTGACTTAGGTACCATTTTCTTTTCTATTAAATTTTTCAAGTTAAGAATTGATTCAAGAAGTTCATTTTCATTATGTGAACATTTCTAATTTCTAATTTAACATTTGTATGTTTAATATTTTACAGAACTTATTTATAATAACATAAAATTGTATCTCAAATAAAATGTACCGTAGTTTGGGATTAATAGGTAGGATTTTAAAGTTTTTTTTATAGATTATGAGCTAAATTTTTATGGTATGAATAACACGAAAACTGTTTTTATAAAGATCACACGTATAGAAATATATAATATATCAAAAATAAAGTTTATAAGATTCGTGTAATAACGATTGTTATAAACCAGGGAGGAGCCAGTGTTTCCCAACTTAATACATGATTTTATATTTTTTCAGATCTAAAGGACATGTGGGAACTACTTCCAAATTTCGTTCTTTCAGTGATACATTTACTCAAAGGTTTCAAAATAAAAGTCCTTTTTTCTCATGGTGTTAACATTTTTTAATTTCAAAATACATAAATAATAATATGATCAGTTTTTTATAAATAGTGGTAAATGTTCTAAAAAAAATCATAATTTTTATTCCCATAGTCATTTGGCTAATTTGATATTTAAATTATTTAAATGTACCTATAAAAATGAAAAATATCAGTTTTATTATAAAAATTCAAATTTAGTTTGAACCTATTTAATTTGTATACTTCAAATCAGGTTTTCATTATATTAAATATAACATTAATTCAACAGTCATTTTTAAAATACTTTTGTATCTTTCATAATGGTTTTCTTCTAATGATAATGGAGTAAAACATTTAGAGCACTTACATCTTTTAAATCTAGTTCTAGTCTTAAATTAATATTCTAATTGTTTAGTTTAGTTTCGTTTTAGCATTATACGATAAAAACTTATTTATTATGTTTAAAAAAATAGAAGGCTGTGGATGTATTAAATATGTATAAAAGCAAAAACTAAATAATTTTTCGGCAAACAGGGATATACAATCTACAGCTAGTTTAACTGTATTATTATTATTTTTTCATTTCTAAAGATTGTATTTGGAACTGATGTAATATATAAAGTGTTTGATTAATATCTACTTTAATTTTGTATGCCATAGAGGTAAAAGATTGTCATTATTTTGCAAATATTTTAATAAAAAATGAGTGAATTGTTTTATATTTAATTCAGTTCCTAATTCAATCTTAATATGTTGTAATTTATATTTAAATACATTATTTTGGTAAGTTATTTTTCTGCATTGTAATTAAATAAAATTAATTTAATTTAATTATTATTTCTTTCATTCCACTATTAATTTATAATTTTATTATTGTTATTTATATTTGATTAGTTGATTTTTATTGAATATATACACACATACATTCATATTTATATGAATAACTCATAATCATTTAAAAATTAAAAAACTAATACAAATTATATTAAGCGTCCTGTCTATGATTCATATATTATTAATATTGGCTCATAAACAGCTATTAGTTTATTACATTCATTTTTTAATGATTTTTTTGTAAGACAACAAAAAATTCAACAAGTAAATGTGTTCCATTATACTAGTACCACACCAGATATATATTTAAGTTTGACTAAATAAACATTAGGCAGGTAACAGCGATGGGAATTATTCGAGTATTCAATGCTACAATACAATACGTAACGAAAATTATTCGTTTAAGTTTTCGCGCAACACAAAACGTTTAAGGGGGCTGCAGACGATGCAAAAAATCACGTAAAACAGGTCATAAGCTAGACAAAAC